ATTCATTTCTCGATTTGAGATTTTAAGCTGATGTATGATAAACTATTTGATCTTAAATGAAATATAGTATTCGTTTATCTATTACTCTTGTCAAGTTATATGATTATGTAATAAATATTATTAGAAAATTTTAAGTATATATCTCATATGAATAAAATATGGCTTAATTAATCGATTTTCCTGCGATATTCATTTTTACCTCAAGCCATTGTTAATTATGACCTATAACTTATATTGACATTTTTATTCTTTTATGCTAAAATTTTTTTGAATATGTTTGGATGATAAATGTCTTCCTTGAGTTTTTAATTTTTATATGCCCTAAATTTTATTTTGAAATATTTTCTTTTGTTAAAAATTTCTTGAATTTTTTTTTTTGAATATGTGTTTATTGTATTTATTTTTGTACAATATTACATGAAAACTTTAGCTTTTGTGTCATCCTTGAGCTACTTGATGCTTAATTTCATACATGAGCTTAGTATTCTTTAAGTGCGACTGTAAGTATATCTAGAAATGAAAAAAATTGAGATTTGTATTTAAATATTTAAATATTTATAATATTTAATTTATGAATTTAAATTCGTTTTTATTTCTTTCAATAATTTTATTTAATTATAGCATAAGTAAATATTGAAAGAAATAAAAAAAAAAGTAAATTTCTTAATTTAGTGATGTTTGTAGTGAAAAATACCGTTAAATTATAAAAATTAACGACGATTATGCTAAAAAAGCTACTAAATTTAGTGATTTTTTTTAACACAAATGCTTCTAATTTTTTTAATTTAACGACATTTATGCGTAAGTGTCCTTTTAAAAATAATTTACTAAACTCAGTATGTATTGATCTTAAAATTAATCTTATTATTTAACAAAATTATTTAGATAAATTTTTTTTGCAAAAATCCAAATAATTTGAAAGTTCTTGATCCAATACACAATATTAACGTTTCAATTTATCAGATAAATCATTTCCTTTATTTCATTTTATTAAAATTCAAAGTTCATCTTTTAAATTAATAAAAGCTTTATCTTTCATAAAAATTTAAAATTAAATCTCTTATTTTGTTTGATTAAATGGAATGATCATTACACTCATGATTTATTTGGAATTCATTATAAATATAATTCTATACAATAATTTGATTCATTATCAATTTTATTATATGATATATTTAAATTAATTAAAATAATATTAATTTTGATATGTTAATTTAAATTATTAATGTAATAATAATAATACTAAATAATATGATATTATTATTAATTAATTATATAAAATAAAAAACAATATATTTCTCAAAATATATTTTATAATAAAAGGATTAAAATATTTTTAAAAAATAAAAAATACTTTTTTAATATTATAAGAACTATATTTTAAATTAAAACTAAATTTCAAATTCCAGTGAATACAAAATTATTTATATAATTTAATAATTAATTTTATTCATCTAAATTATCACATCACTAACTCAATATTCATGTCATCAAGTCAACAACTGCATCATTTTTTTTACTTAAAAAAAAATTAATAAGTTATGATTAAACTAAAATTATCAAATCAAAATAATATGATAATTAAATTTATCCAAATTACAATACATAAATTAAATTTTAAATTTTCACAAAATATAAAGACTTCAAATATAATTTGACCAAATTTTCTTTTAAAGAAAAAGAAAAATAAAGGAAAATACTTTATAATTTAGCCTACATATTCATTACAGATCATCATCAACACCGCTAATCACTATCCCCACCCATGCAACATTCTTCTATAAAACTAAAAATTATAACGTTACACAAAGGAGGTGCACACAGGGAACAGTTCCTAAGACACGAAAAACACACACACACACAAATTAATTCAAAAAAATAAAAGAACGAAAATCACACACACACACACACACACACACACACAACCACAAAACAAAGATCCTTGAAGCCATTACTAAAATCCCTAAATCGGATCATCACACTACCACTTGCCATCATTCTCCCATGGCCACCGAAAACCATCCCCAATTCCCAAGTTCAAACACATGCAGAACTTCCGACATTTATTGTTCTTCCTAGCCTCATCCTAAGACAAGGAATTTCCAACTTTGAAAGCCAAAAATTAATAAAAAAATAAAAACACAAAAAAAAAAAAAGAAAAATTTCCAAAAGTACAAAAATAATTTTTAAAAAAAAGCTTACACATTTTTCTTAAATGAAATTAGGATTCAAAAAAAAAAAAACAAACAAACAAACACACACGCACACACACGCTAAAACCTACTAACGAACTCATGGATGAATTATGAGACTCAGTAAATAACTGATTTTATAATTGTTTGTCCATGCAGTTATTTGTGAGTGACATGGCTTCCGCAGAGGTAACATTAGAATGAAAGTTTCAAGAATATTTACATCCTATTAACCACTAATTGCAACACTAATATTAGCTCTCTTGTTTCTCAGCCATCCTAAACAATTCTCATCAATTTTCTTTATCATTACTTCAATCCGCAACTTTAAACTGGGAGGAATACATACATACATACATATATATATATATATATATATGTATATTAGGAAGAATGAACTTATACAGTATAAAAATTTTTTATTTTTATACATTTTTTTAAACCAACAATTTCAATAAATTCAAAGGATGAAATTAAACCATTTTTTCTTATTTTTAATTATGTCTCTTATCTCTTGAATCTATTAAAATCAAGAGTTAAAAAAATATGTAAAACTTTTTAATTTTATACTGTATAAGTTAATCTCTCCTCATAAATAGATATTAGAATAGCTCCATCAACTGCTTCGAAACATCTGCATCAAACAAACAAATAACATCATTCATTACATTATCATACCTAATAGATACATCCAAGTTTATTGCCCCCCCTCCCTCATTTCATAAAGAACCGAGAATACAGGGTGGCGACGATAATGGATATTAGAGTTGACAAACAGACAGATTCAAGTTAGTTTCAAGCAATTTTAGTTTTTGTAAAAAATGTAACCATTTCAACATGACTTTTGGTTAAGTTAGGGAAACTCAATAAAAAATCCGATTTTTTACCCTAATAGGGATGGAGAAGGTATTAATGGAAACAGGAATGTATATAATTTTAAATTTTTTATCGAATATGAATATATATAATATAATACTTGCTCCATACCCGTGCCGTATGTATATTTTTATATATTTAACAAATTAATTTTTATTTAATAATATAAATTTTATTTTAAATTAATTAAAACTAATATTTTTTTACATATATATTTATAAAAAAAATTACATAAATGTGTATGATAAAATAAAAAAGCTAATTAAAATATATTTTATTGTTGTTAAAAGTTATAGGCATGATAATTATTCATACTCATTAAATACCCACTAGAATGAGAATAGAGATGAATTTAAAATACCCGTTAAATATGGATACGGAGATGAGTATAATATAAAATACCAAAAATGGAAAATGCTCTACCTATCATATACCATACCCATTAACATCCCTATTTTGGTTTCAAGTTGTTTTAGATTTGCAATTTCTCTGATTTAGGTTATTTCAAATTCGGTTCAAGTCTTTTGACTTTTTGGTCAATTCAGATTGATGGGCCTTAACTTGGGTTTTTTCAGGTGGGGTTTTAGGTTTGGATTGATTTTGCCACCTCTAATGGTGTCATATACAAGGGTGTTTATGTTACTTCACTAGAAAACATTAAACCTTCCAAATAAGAGATTAAAATGTATTTGACCACATAAATACCATGCAGATTCTCAAATACTTGTAGATACAGTGGATAGATTACCTTGGAGAATAGCTGGTGTTGTTTGAAATTCTTGCCAGATACCATGGTAAGAAGCAAGATCAAAACTTAGAAACTTGGCCGCAAGATAAGCAGCTCCTGCTGCAATATGATTGGGTTTAAATTGAAGCCATAATGAGCTCCTGAGCCTACAAAATAGAAGTCACACTTCAACACACTCTACTGAAAATAAACAATTGATGAAAATTAGAACATGACAGTGATCATTGTTTTATTAAATGTGGAGAGTAACATGAACAATTACAAACCATGGGAAACGAACAGGCAATATCATGTGGAACTTAGAGCATATCACCACAAAAGCCGCACATCAACCACATATAATACAAGAGATGATCAAAACGGTGATGTGAAGTGAAAAAAAGATAAGTTATTTTTCCTTACCAACTAATGGCACTAACACCAAGTGGAATATTTTCCAAGAATCTCTGCACCATGGCTCGCAGAGTACGAAAACTATTGCAAACATGTTATAACCATCTAGGGAAAAAATCAATTCCAGCCCCCATTCTGCTGTGCTTTTAACTCCAGTAATATACCCACTATAAAAATGAAACAAACAGAGGTAGCAGCACAATGTAGATACCAAAGCAGGTCTCTTCAGCTCATCAATTATCTGACCAGGCTCATCAACAAGCATGCCTCACTGCTCATGGAGCATGCATGCTACCCCCAATTATAGAGAACTAAGGTAGGCAAGAAATGAAGCTATGAGCCATATTTGTAACCTACTCAATGTAACATAAGTTTGAATATATCTTTATATTATATAAACCATTGCAAGGGTTCCTTTGGATTACCAAGGGTTTTTGTGCTAACCAGCATTATGCAGTCATTTGGATTCATACAGCTAGTGCCATTTTTGCAAGTGGTTCAATGGCCATTTTTGGTCTAGTGACCAACTAGTCTTTTTTTTTTCCTTTTTACCCTTTACTTAATATTATAAATACAAAATTATCTTTATAATTTAATTTTTTTATTTTTCATTTTATTTTTTATTGAAAAAATATAAAATAATTTTGTTAATTCAATAAAAAATGGTATTTTATGTATTATTATTTTATTAATTTTTAATTATTTATTAATAAAATTATTATTTAACATTAAAATAATTTAATAATTTTTAAATTATTTATTAATTTTATAAATGTTAAATAACTTAAACATATTATTACATACAATTTTTAATCTAATGCCCTTAATAGTCATTTTTGTTTTATCACTACAATTTACTTTACTGCTACTACTGTTTTAAAATCTAAACACACATCTCATCACTGATTTTAATCTCATCAATAAAATAATCAATCTCACTTCCACCACCGTTTCCAACCTTATTGCTCATCCAAATGAACCCTAGAATAGTATATACAGATGCCCTTAGTTAATAAACCAAAAATCAAAGAAAAAAAGAAAAAAAAGAAAGAAAAAGACTAAAAATGAAAAAGATAATGGATTAAAAAGAATAAACTTTTTGGAAAAAAAATAAACAAAAAACTTAAATTGTAGAGAACTAGAGGGTTATACATGCAATGAGGGAAGTTGGGCACCAACTATAGATATGATAATAATAGTTGATGATGGGGAAAAAAGACAAAAAAGTGTACACACGCACATATCTATGTGTGTGTGTGTGTGTATAATTTTCATAAATTTATTTTTCTTCATAATTTGAGCTCATAAAGGCCTCAGTTTGATATGATAATGGAAGAACCAACAAGGACAAGGATATATAATTTTCACGCGAGTCTGATGCACATTACTTGTTTCCACAGTTATCATTCTCCTCTTGCTTACGGGAAAACCATTCTTCCACAAAATAACAGGCAGTAGAACACTATACCATGTCTTGAATAGGAACCATGCAATAAATACTGACAAGACCAAAAGGCCCAACAAGGACCAAGCCTACCAATACTGTCAGTCCAAGCCTGATCCAAAAGAAATTAAAGATCTCAGGCTGATTAGTGCTCCACAGCCAATTAGATTTACTTCATATTATCTATTCTAATTGACTGTAAATTCCCAAGTGAGTATATAACCTTTAGGCTGCGCCCATTCTAGTTAACCCTAGTACAGGGTAAAATTTTTCAGTATTTAAAACTGATTGCTTCACAATGTCAACTACTCTAGTTCAAAAGTTGTCATACATCCAGCATTACCAAAGTGCTCTAGGCAATAAGGCCATTTATACTTTTCGAGCATACGGAACTGCCTCCAACTTATACAAGATGTAAACTAGCATTTACAGACATTTCCATTTAATTTGTGGACTCCTTTCAGATATCCTTGAAGGACGATGCATCTTTCATATTTGTATTTTTTTTAATCTTCTAGCATAAAATATATACCTAAATATATGTATGCATTACTGTATTAGCGTAAGTGGTTATATAGTTGTGTAACAGACATAAGATAGAGGACGAACCCTAAAAGAAACGACAAAAATCAGTTTGAAACACAAATTAACTGTTTTTAAACTAAAACTAATGCAACCAAATCATTTCAGCTGAGAGACAACGACATTGATACTTGAGGAGAACAATACAACTGAAATATTTCAAATGGGGGAAAGAAAAGAGTAGAAGTCACACTAATAATGTACTCCAAAAACAATAATCTTTCCAAAAGCCAAACAAACTCTATAATTAGGAACACCCGGAACTCAACCACAAGATAGTACTCAATTCAAGGTCTAGAACGTGGTCAGAATGAATGGCAAAAACCTAAGTGAGAATCACTGTGTTATATTCAAACTAAAAAAAACAGAATGTGAAGATACAAGTTTGTTGCATTTTCGTTATATTTTGGAATTTGCTTCATAACATGCTACCAGATCAATTAATTTTTTGCATCTAACCCATCCCCAATGGCTGACACTGCATGCTAGAGTTTAGAATCCAACAAGTACAGATAGACTCTAAATTTGAAAGGACTGAAGCCTGGACACAGGACACACATCAAGCTGGTACCCAATGCTCACAAATCAGAATGGAAAACTTTTTTAAATAATAAGCAACTACTGCAAAGATGTTTTAACTTTCATTAGACAGACACTACCACTGGCAAAATCAAACTGGAAGCCCCTCATCCGAAAACCTTTATAAAACTAGACAAACTAGTGAAACAAAATTAGAATTTGGGAAAAACCAAAACCTCCATTTTTAAGGAGAAAAAGGTCGGATGATAATAACAAACCATGATTTCACGACTTGGAAAATCATCACCAGGTCCACATGGTGTTTATATTATCCTTTTTTTAAAAGAAAAAGGAGGAAAGACCCATTATTGACCCTTCCAAGTCAATAATTTTTCTCCAGATCAGGGTGGAATGGAAACAAAGTGGGATGCAGCCAGATTTCACAAACTCAAAATTTGTGCATGGACTTCAGAGGAGTGGTTGCAAATAAACTGAAACTCAAAAAAATAAATGGTTAAAAGTAAAATAACAAGACTAGTTTCTGTAGGTTATGTGGCTTTCATAGCCATTACCAAGTTGATGGGGTAAAATCATAGGAAAGACAACCATAAACATCAGCAGTTCAACTTCAGATGTAAAAACAAAACTTTACACCAATCCACCAGCTAACAATATCAAACAGGTGAGCACGCTAATCTTGCAATGACCCTGCAATTATATGTCATGCCAAAATAATCAATATGCCATACCACAATAACTGCGTAGAGTAGCTGAGCTAAAGAGCATTAAGGATAGAAGTATACATTTTGGACGAGATGGAAGAAGATAACCTGCATAACCTTCTTCACACCTCAACTCATTTTTTCAACCAATTCATAGCATGGACCCACTCCATCCAAAATTCATTTAAAGTTGAAACCCATAGAATCAGCGGATTGGAAGGATTGCAACACCCATTAATCCAAGTGCATAAAACTGCTACTCAATCATAGCCACAAGAACACATCCCAATCTATGAACATTATTCTTAGACTACTCTGAAATAATTCAAATATCACAAAGAAATAACTAAACCAAAACAGTACCTGAAAAGGCAGAAGGATCATAATCATTGTACATGTAAAAGACCATTGTGTATTGCATCAAGATGAAGTTCAAAATGCAGCAGTCAGTTTTACTTATAAAACGAACTGAACTAAACCTTACAAACATATTGCACCTGTAAAATTAACTTCAAATAAAAAATATTTGGTGAAATTGAAGCATTAAAGATAATCTTACCCTTCACTGACCAAGTTTAACGCCAGATTGACCAAGAAAGTCTGTGAAAGGCCTAGTTTGTTAAGAATGGATGTAAGAGGATCATATGGATGCTGCACATTAAGTTCAAAATTTAAGGTAGTAAGTATCATTTGCTCTGCCTCAATCACACGTTCCCGATACTGCTCAAACCAATCCTGTTCAACAAACAACTCATTTAATGTCAGCATATGAAAACTACCATGGCAATCTTTTCCCTTTTCCTTTTTAATGCAAGTGGCAACAGTAAATTCCTTTTAGTAAGCCAAAACATTTTCCATATTGTGAAGCATGCTGATGTTGGATTAATTACATAGCTGTCTCTAAAATGTTTTGAACCATAAATGTATGGTTTAATGCTTAAATTCCAAGAAGCTGACAACACTAAATTAACAATTAGCTGCAATGCAAGAATTTTTATTCTGGATTTGCCACATTCTAATCATAGTTGGAAACATGCTTTCTCTGGATGACAACATTCAAAAGGCTTAAATAGATTTAATGGCATTATATTCACTTTTACCCTGCTAAATAATTTAATCCCTTTACATTTCTTAGTAAGGAAAAATCAAAAAAGGCTCCAAAGGTACTTACAATGGGGAGCAGATAGGATAAGTATCTAATATCCTGCTTATGGAATATTTCCCAAGATGTTCTCAACACATCGTTCAAAGGGCGAGGCGTCTCCTCGGACTTTGCAGCAAGAAAAATAGCAGCAGTAGCGATCAACTGCAACAGAGCCAAATAACTGGTGATGGACCTTTTCGTTGTAAGTCAACTAGTATATATGAATTCTCTATAATTAAAAAAATATTTTCATTGAGGTGATAAAAATGGTGAAAGACAACCAAATCAACTTGACCTAAACCTCAGCAGCTTCTTCAATTAAGATTTAAGAGTATACAACTTCTAACTGAGACAAATCAAGTAAAATATTCAAAACATAAGAACATGGTCAAGCACGCAAGAGAATATCAGCCTTCCAAAAGTTTTAAGAAATTAGGGTTCAGGAATAAAAATTACAAACAACTAAACACTGCATTAGCTCCAAAAGATAAAGGAAAAAAAAAAAAAGGAAAGCGGGTGTCCAAAGATTGGAACAGAACTTGAGTTAAGTTACAAAAGCAACAAATTTTTTTTCTTACAAGTATGAAACATTTTAACCTTTTAACCCCACTTATGGAGTTTAAAAAACTCCACTGGTGGTGTATAGTATAATTTTCCATAAATAAGTGAGCATTAAATTCCTTAAGCATTGGTATTTGAAACTCACAAATCTATCATGGCAAGCATGTGATCTTCGAACAAAAAATCGATGGCACAGAACCATGGCAGTGCCAATAGTAGTTTGCGGCCTGCAAAACACAACATGGATTTGATTACATAAGAAAATGCATAAATGATTTTAAGAATAAGGTAAAAGAATAGCATCCAAGATTGAGAGCTCACAACTCAAGCTGCAAACCAAGATTCTGAATGAAAGCACAGTAAGAATAGCGCAGATGTGCTTCACAAAGGGCATCAATACCATCTCTTCTTGAAGGTGAATATCTCTCAATATCATCCCTAGACATAAAAACAGATTCATCATCCTCCAATTGTGCCCTATCACGTTTATTGCTGACAGATGTAGAGGCTTCAGCATTTGATCTTATAGGAGGAATGAAATTGCTTGAGTCAAAAGGAACAGCAGTGCAATGCATACTAGATGGCGGATAGTGTCTCGCACTATATCCCCGAGTAGCAGCTGAATACTTTCTTCTTTTAAAAGAAGGAGCATAATTTGGCTGTGCATGATGATAAGCTCTATTATGCTCCCCAAATTGCTCTATGAATTGGTGGGCATGGTTAAAAGTCCTCGTAGGGTTGCTATTCCAATTCCAGTTCCTGTAGTTATTGGAACTGTTATTCTTGTAGTTATTTCTATTGAATGGGTACGGGTAATCATCCTGAAAAATACCCCCTTGCAGACGGCAATTCCGTGCAAAAGGCATTTCCTCCTTATTTCCTTATTTCTTTTCGGAAGAAAACCTGTGTAAAGGTTAGAGACTCAGAATGAATATAAATGAATTGCTACATAAATATCCGTATTGGAAAGCTGAAATGGGAAATAATAAGTCTTCCACCAAAATCTAGAAATATAAATAAGGCTCTGATTCACCTGTTTTCCCATATTTTTAAGCCAGAAAATAGAAGTTTGGATCTTTAGCCTCAAAATAAGATTTAGAAAACAACAGGTTAGAGTTTTAATCGATCAATTTGTCCTATCAAAGCTAACCCATTCCTCGGATGCTTGATATTTCTAGTTTTCCCTTCTCATGATCAGCTATTTATTAAGTCAATTAGCTCTAATCATACCTAACACTACTAAAAGAAAATCTCAATTTGGAATCAATTTAAGGAACTAAAAAGCTCTAAATTAACCAGCAATTCGAATTTATTAATCTCCCTATAAACAAAAAATAATAATACAAAATCCGAATTAAAACACAAGCAAACACCAAACTAAAAAAAAAAAAATCCAATTCTAATACAATAAGGAAAATATTAAAATTCTAACATATATATTAGATCAACGTTAAAAAGATAAAAGTAAAGAAAAAAATCAACATTTTCACGCCGAGTTCCGGAGAAAAGGCTGATTTATCATCAAACAAAAACAATATTTAAGATAAAATTAAAATAATTACCCGAATAAAAGAGAAAAAGATCGAGAAAAAAGCCGTGATTTTTATTCAATTAAAGCTGAGATTAGGTAAGATTAAGATCCGAAACCGAGAGAAGATTAGGGTTTAGAAGAAAGGGGTGGAAGCAGTGATAGAGTTGGTCAAATTCAAAAAGAAAGGGAAAACGACAACTTGGAACGAAAAGCCCAATGGAAGCAAATATATTTCTTTTTTCTTGAAGCAAATAAATTTGTATCTTTTTTATTTTATTATTTCTAAAATTTTGAATTAAAAAAAGTTGAAATCAGTTTTTTTTTTTTTTAGAATTGAAAAAGGATTTAAATTGCAGTTAAGTTCGTGTTTTTGGTTGCCTCTTATTTATTTATTTATGAGTTCAAAACAAGAATAAATTTTAAAAATATTTAATGTCGTGCATAAATTTTAAAAATTTTAATTATAAATTTATTAATTAATATGATATTTTGATCATATTTATTTATCATGTATTATTATTTAAAGTTAACATTGTTATGAGTATAACTTTAAAAAAAAAAAAAAAGCTAACTATATTAAATGAAAATATTATATTAGACTATTAACTAATAAATTTATAATTCAGATATCACATTATAAATTTTTAAAATTTAAATATCACATTAAATATTTTATTATAATTTAAAAATTATTCATAAAATTAATTTTTTTATTAAAGTTGCATATCAACTGTTGTTATTACAATCATAGTAATAATGGTGATCATAATTTTTTTTTAATTTTACATAATTTATTATAAAACATAATAATTATAATTATAATCATAAAATTATTTCAATAATTTTTTAAATAGTTTTATGGCATCTTAAATTTATATAAAAAAAATATTCATAATTTTTTTTTTACCTTTATTGTCCTAATGTGTAGATATGATAACTCGATCACTAAAATTGTATTTGAGTAAAATCAAGTCTATATATTGCTAAACTTGAAGTCAACTTGACTCGAAAACGTGAGGTTTAAAGCTCTACTCGAGTTTGATTAAGCTTCATTTTGCAAATTCAGGCTTAGTTTATAATTTAATTGAGTTATTCAAACTCAACTCGATAGAGTCAATTAAGCTTGATGAAATTATAAATATTGACATTAAACATTATATTTTTATCATTTACTTATATAAATTAAATATATTAAAAAATAAAAATTCGATCAGACTCACAAATCTCTCAAATGAGATATTAAATTACTTCAACTATGCTCGATTTGTTATTCAAGTAACTCAAGTTTGTGTTTCTTTTAAATCGATCCCAAATAATTCATAAATAATTTGACTCATTTATATCCCCGTCGGATGTAAAAAGAAAAAAAATTACCACCATTCTTTTTCTCGTTCAATGTGATTAGCCACTTAAAATATATTTATTCTTTTTAAAAAATCCTAAACTTAACTAAAACTCATTAAAAATAAATAGATTTAGGTTTATGCTAAACGGGGTCAAAAAATGACAATGGCATAGCCGCATAGTGGTAGGCCAAAAGTCCCAATTTAATTCACGCCAGCTCAGCAGAAGTATAATCAAACAATGAATCAAATACACAAAAAATAATAATTTAACATGGTTTGGTCCAATCGACTTATATCTACGGATAAGAAACAAGATACACTAGTTGTAGAGAATTACAAACATATATCAAATCAATCTCACTCTACAATCAATACACATAAACTTTCTCAATCTCCTTTACTTTTACGAAATATTCTCAACCCAAACAAATACATACTCATGTGCACCCTTTTAACACAACGAAACACATACCCATATGCACTCATACATCATACTTATGTGGACCCTCTCAGTCTACTCTAGTCCACTTATAAACAAGCATATACACCTATAAGACGTAAATCCTTAATACTCTTATGGGTGTCTATTCCATAAAATCATACAACTCTTTTACATTTTTTCTCATACCTAACCCTATAGAGATTTCACATATTTATAAGTATATAAACTTACCTATTAAAAATCTCTTTCCTCTTAAAAATCTTATTCTGCAAGTCAAATTTACCTATTAAGAATCATCTTTCTCTTAAAATTTTTCTTTTTACAAGTCTTATTGTACATCAAATAATATCTAACAAATATCAAATAAATCTTTTATGAGATTTGAATCATTATTTTCAACATGTAATAAATTGTTGGTTCAATTAACACCACTCAATTTTTTTAAAAAAATTACACTTACACATATGGGAAATACTAAAATTTTTGTAATTTTTTTTATTAATCCTAAAAAAGTTTAATAAAAACATTAAGTAAAGGGTCACACAAATAAATTTTTCATTTATTTTTATAATGATAACATTAATATTTAGGTTTCAAACAATATGTTTAAAAGTCTCTTTATATATGGGTATAAATATAGTATCAACTATTAAAATGTAAAAAGATATTTATTTAAATATAAATGTTCTGCATAAAATTAAAAATATTATATTTTTATTATATATAAATATTACTTATTATTTCATAGTTATTCAAAAATAATTTTTTTACTCTATATACCTAAATATACATTTTGTAATGCAAAATATAAATAATAAAAGTAATAAACTAGCAATTCTCAACTTAATTTATAAATTTAAAAAATCAAATATTATTTCATGAGATAATATCTCAACAATATTTTTATTAAATATACATTAATTATTGAATTTCGTGGTAAAATTTTTTAATAATAAAAATGAAAAAAAGGTAATTATGCTATGTGCTTATATATACAAATTAGTATATGACTATAGTCCCACTAAAATTTTTTCTACCTATACCTTTGGGGGGGGGGGTTACTTATATATGCGAAAGAAATTATTGTCCCATAACACTCATCCAATGGACGGTATCAATTATTATTCTTTTTTTTAACTTTAATTAAAATGATTTTTGTTTTTAATTTATTTATGTTGTTAAATATCGTTTATTAATACTTCAATATTTAAATATTGAAAATTTGTTTATATTTTCTCTAGCACTTTAATTCAATTTTTAAAAGAATTTTTCTCTGAAAAGAACATGCATGTTCCCTAAAATAGACTTCATAGTCTTTTTTATATATGTATAATTTATGAAACACCCCAAAATAAATATTTTTATCCAATTTTCATTTAATATTAATAAAAAAGTACCTTCCTTATCCTATAAAGAGGTTTTTATATGGCCATTGGTTGCTATATTTGAGGATCAATAATTTAAGGATACTGCCTTGATAATTGACAATGCTAAAAGTTTTTTTTTGTTAATTATTTAAAAACATTGCAGTATCGAACCTCACTTTCATAATCTCTTTATATTTGCATGTCCTGTATAAGAGGAAAAAAGAATCATAAAAAATTACAACTATTGATTTTTTTAAGACAGAGCATCGTAGGAAAGGTTATGAAAATATTTGATTTCGCATGTGATTTTTCTGTTGATAAATGTGCTTTTATGGAGAGAACCATAGAATTTGAAAGGGAATAAAATGTGTAATAGCTAAAAAATTTTTTAAAAAAAGCACTTAGTTAATGAAATTTAAAATTATTAGAGGCAAAATGATTCTCCCTTAAATCACCTTAGCCGAAACATTTATGATAAAGTTAAATTTATATGTTTATTTTAGTTGTATTTGATTAGGAGAATGTAAGATTACCTAAAAATACATTTTATTATATTGCCCTTAGTTATTATTAAATGATATCATATGAATAAAATATGTCATACAATTATATTTAAATTATTTATTTAATATGTTAATTTATTTATTTAATCTACAAATTGTTTACTTAATATCTTGTGAAATTAATAAAAAATATTAGAATTATTAAAATTATTTATATATATTAAATAGACTATTTTTATTTTAAAAGCATAATCTTTTTTAATGTTTTAATCATAAAAAAAGTTACATTTTTTATTTTTAAAACATAGTTTTTTCTTTAAAATAGTATTTGATATAGAGCGATCACTCTAAAAATTATGGTGATCTACACATAGTAATTAGATTATTATATTTAGTAAGCACTTAATAATCCTACATGGTAGTGATTTTAGATTACAGAAAATTATTATATTACTGTTTTGGAATGTGATATAATTCCTATACAAAAAGGTGAAAAACGTTTATCATCGAGATAAAAGTGATATGTAAAATTAATAATAGTCAATTTTACCTATTTAATATGTGAATTAAAATTTTGTTACATCTTAAAATTGTAAATTATAAATTTTTATATTTTCAAACTAATATTTATTGTAACAAGTTCAAAATAATTTGTATATTTTATACTTTGTTTAATATTTATGTAATATAATTTTTTATTTTCCTTTTATTATGAATTTAATAAATTGTTTTCATTTTTTAACTTAAATTTTTTTTCATAATTTATATTATAAAAATAAATTTACCTATCAATAAATATATTTACTAATTTAATGATTTAATTATCTTTTATTATAAAATAAATAAATATACTAATATTTGACAAATTATTATCTTTAAACAACTATAAAATTATTAATTTATGTAACTATTACAATATGCATGATTATTTTTGTATTTTTAAATAAAATAATATTTGATTTTTAATAATACCAAATACAATGGTCTTTAATTTTTAAGAATTAATCATTGTTAGCCAAATAAAATAATTTCAAATTATGATCGTTAAGATCACTTTGGTAATAAGATCATTTCAATAATTACATTATTATGATCTTGCAAAAGATATCAAACACTACTCAAGTTGTTTTATCTTAAAAATTAATTTTTTTATTATATATATAAAATCTTTTCTCTTGTTTTTTTGTTCGTAGAGATATAGAGCAATGAAGATTTATTGCCAACCCCACCTTGCAAAACCACCAATTTTCATCCCCAAACCATCATTTTTTTCATGGCTCCCATGTTTCTTCTTCATCCATTTGTAAAAAGCCCTACCCTTCCACAAGCTTCACGAATCAATCCATGGCCTTGAAGATTCTTTTCATGTTAATGAGGTTGAAGATGAAAGTTGAGTATGATGAGAGAGGACAATGAAGTTGTATCACAAGAGTTTGGGTGTCATTCAAACTCAATAATTTTTGTTTGTTGTGTGGGGTTGTATCATGAGAGTTGGTTTCCTCTTCAATGTTGAAAGTTTCTTCCTTACATGAGACAAAGAAGAAGTTTAATTTCTAAGGAAAAAGACCATTTTTTTATCTGAAAATCATAGTCTTTTCTTTAGATTTTTTTTAAATAATAGA